AAACCAAAGAGTAATTTTCAAGGATAAAGAAGTTGTCGACAGTGTCAAATGCTGCTGACAGGTCAGGTGACATAACTGGAAATGCCTTTAGGTTTCAATAGCAAGGGCACTGGTGACTCAGCGAGAGCAGCTCCTCTGAGAGCAAATAACAAAATCGGAAGGGTTTGAGAAGGCAAGAGAAGAGATGAAGAACAGAGGAGGGGCTGGAATTAATGAACAGACCAGAGACTACCTTTTACCTATGACAGAGAAGATGGAAGAAGTGGTATACAGTTTCCAAGAAGTCTATTTGGTTATAATGTGTCTCAGGATTTCTAGTGTCTTCTGAGCTAAGATTTGGATTTCCATGCTTGGGCTGGAGCTGAACCAGTAATTGTCCTGCATCTCATCACACATACACACAAGACTCTTCTTCCTAGATCTCAGGGCATGGATGTAATGTTGTGGTTTAAGGTGGGGTGGGGCAGGGTAGAGCTGGAAAGCTCACTGTTTCATCTATAAGAAGCTTGTATCCATAGGTTTAGCTTCCAAAGTATTCTTACTTGGTGCTTAATCCAAGCCTCCAAAATATCTTCATTGTGTCACACAGAAGTCAAAGACAGAGTTTGTGGTCCTAAAGTGAGCTGGCGTGAGGGCAGACAACAGTCAGGATAGGACAAGTTTGCGTTTGATGACACTTGGAGGCAGAGTGTATATCCAAGTAGGCTTCTGGAAAGGACACTGTGTTCTGATCATAATCTGGGAACCGATGTATCTGTTCAGAGGAGGACTTGACCAACTTTACACAGTGACTGTAATGGGATTGTTCCCGGGCATCAATGTCACTGCTCTTGCCACAACAAATTATTAGACTGAGGGAGAGGGAAGGCAGAATAGGTGTAGGTTGCCCATTTGTGACAATGTAGGTGGGTCCGAAGGACATTATGTTAAGTGAAATAAGCCAAGGAAGAACAAATGGTCTATAATCTCATTAATATGTAAATTATAAAAGGCAGAAGAATAAAAAGAATCTAAATAACCCTCAGCTTCATATACATAGACATATGTTAATCAGAACAGTATATTGTATATTTTAAATGCATACAGTGTAAGATTGGATTTTAGTTTTATTTTTTTAAAGAAAGGCAGAAGGCCCAGAAGGCAGATTTCCCATCAACAAGTGCAGCCGGTGGTTACATGGTTAGTGCTCTTGGACTAAAGGGAGCCTGTATACTTAGAAGCTATTGAAGCTGAAGAGGACATATACTGGCCTCCAGTTCTGGGATTCCTTTGACACAACCTCCCCCAATTGTATATTTCCTATTATTTCCATGATGTATCACAGTTATGGGGTATCTCCCTCTTAAGCCCAACCTGCCACCCTCTGAAGGGAGTTGTAACAGAGATTCATCCTGGATTAGCCAGTTGGTATCCTTGAAGTTTTCAATAGGATCTGGCGCTCATAAATTTATGCCTTCATCTTCTTTCATCAGTATTCTGGCAAAGGGAACTCACGGATCATTGAACTCCTAGATTTAAAAGCTTAAAGGCCCAAACAATTATTTAATTAGGAAAAACTAAAGTGGCACTAAATAGAGCACATTCCTCAGTATGAGGATGGCATTGGACATGCTTCAGAAGGCTGCAGATTTTCTTTGCTTGATTCGATTACTGTCTCTGTTCATGGTGTCACTGGTTTCCTCACCAACATCACCCTGAAGAAATCCAAGTCCAAATATCTCTCATCTAGATTAGCATTCAGTTATTCAATAAGTAATTATCATCAACTCTGTGTTAGACAGTATTCTAGTTTAGGCTAGTACCGTAATGATCTACTGGAACTAGGGTTTTCTACCTCTCTCCCTCTCCTTCTCTCTCTCCCTCTCTTCCTCCCTCCCCCCTCTCTCTGCCTTTTCTATGTCTGTCTCTTCTATGCTACAAAGTAGTCAAGGATACTAGTACCAGACTCCGGCAGGGGAAGGGTTTCAAATTTAAGGGTACTGAGTAACAGACATAAAGACTGGAAAAACTAGAGATGTTTCACTAAAACCAGAAGATATGTTTTTAGAAGCCAAGTGGCTCCAGAAGGTTCTTAAGGAGATGACAACACTTAAATATTGGCAGCAGGGAATTTTATCAAGGTGGTTGACTTCTGTGTCCTGGGTATGTGATTAAATGAGCCAGGAACTGTAGGATTGCGGCATTAGTAGGATATCCTTCAGGTGATCTCAGGACTGGAACATGCACGTAAGGTCAGGATGTCCAAGTCCTTCCTTTTGTTTTGGACAAGAAAATATTTTTATGATATAAAATATTCTCCCAAAGATATTTTTCCATCATGCAGAAGCCAGGTAATTTCTCAAGCATGTCTTATGAGATTAGATTTCAGATTTGTTCTAATCGCAGGATGCATTATCATCCATATCTCCACTCATAGTTCAACAATCTTTACTCTGCCTGGTAATTATTACCCTAGAGAACTGTCACCTAAGGGAAATAGTCCTCAAAAGGCGAGGGAAAGAAATTCTATAGAATTACAGTGAATGTATATTTCTGTTTCCCAGGATTAAATGAATATAGCAGGGCACCCAATGCATCTGTTTCTTTCCCTTTCGTATTTTATGATAAGACTCTTGACTCAATCAAATCAGTTTTCACATAGGTCACATTTGGGACCATTGTACTAGATCTTGTGTGCAAGTGGTCTTGTTCTTCATGCAGCTTTATTAGAATACTCACTGTACACATGTGATCAAGGAAGTAGAAAACATGAAAGGACTCTGGGGGAAGAGGCGAGAGGAATGGGAGAGAGATGGAAGGAGTGATTCAGAAGCCGTGGACACTTCGAGGGACATGTGAAATTGATTGTAACCCTCTTGTACCATCAGTTGAAGTTTAAAAAGAAGTAGAAAGTAAGGGATGATATCAACCAAGATGCAGTGCATTCATAACCTGATTTGTTGAATGGTAAGTCCTTTGTACAACTAGTTAAAGATAATAAAGGGAATGTAGAGATGGCAATAGTGGGGGTGGGGGAGGAGGGGTCAGTGCAAGTCAAGAACACAGAACTGGTTAGGTCTGTGTTAGGCAAGGAGTAATCAATAAGTCTTCCAACCCAAATACAATTCAGAAAGGGTTTAATAAACAGCCGCTACATTGCACCAAAGCATTTAGAAACACAATTTCTACAGAGAGGCAAAGGTCAGGCTTCCATTCTAAATCTCATAAGACAATCATGAACAGCCCCACCCACCCCACCCCCCATCCCCACAGATCCACAAAAGTACACTCTTCTAGTCATAAATTTATCTACAGACACAGTCTTAGGAATAATGGGACCGGCATGCAATATCCCAGCAATGGCAAGGAAGCAGGGCATAGGGGAAAGATGGATGGAAAGGCAACCAGCAGCTAATGATATACCCCTTAGGAGAGGAGAGGAGATGCATTTTGTTCAGAGGGTGGAAAGGGAGATTTGCTTGTGGTGCCATCTGTGCCTTTGCCTTGGACTTCTAGGATACTCTGGACTTCCACAAGTATTCACATCCAAAGTGGCTGGGGCTGCTGTCTTAAACAGTCTCATTCCCTTCAGCCAGGACTACTAGATATGGTCTTGGGTGACACAGCATAACCTGCTTAAGACCTTTGTGGTATCCAAACCTCCCTCATGACCAAGAAGGCCTGCTGACATTGTGCTGATTCTGAGGTCAACATAGACCTGGCTTCTCAGTCTTTTCTTCATTTTGGCTTTGGAAAGGGGTGTGTGACAGCTCTTTATTGAAGACACTTGTAATGAGCCCAGATAAATTATTCAAACTTCTGGGACTCGGTTAATCTACCTTATAAAAATTTTGTATTTATTCCTGTCCCTTTTACTCACACTGAGATCAAATGGCCTCTAAATAATACATTATAAAACTGGTAATAAAGATAATGGTTTAGTTAAGTCAAAATGACTAAAGATACTTATATGAATCTGCAATTCGCTCCTTGTAAGAATTGGCATCAGCAGAGGGTCAGAGATCGTGGATATGGACAGATCAAGATACTTGGGTGTTGGTGAGGGAGAGGGTATGGAATGTGAAGGACATGGAAGAAGGAGTTTGACTTTCACCTCCCAGTGGCCCTTTCTTTAGACTCACATTTCAATCTTCATTTACTACTCCCTCTCTTTTCCAGTCCAGTATTTGACTAGTTGTGTTGGTAGGGAGATGAAGCTGTTCTCTCTTTCCCCCATCGTTTAAGAATTCTTGTGTTGAACATCGACCAGATCTTTTTTTCTTGTCTGTATAGTTTTAGTTAAAATAGTTGATTGTAGGCAGTAATGCACCCAAGCTACACAGTGTTCAAGCTGGTTGCAAAGGGGGTCAAAGGAATTGGAGGAAGAGGACTTTCTTGAAGGAGAGATATATCAAGGAGGGTACTTCTTTTCTGATGGGCCAGGATTGTCCGAGCACTGGCTATATTGGTGCCAAGTTGGCTCAATTAGTTCTATTTGTTTGGGCTATACATGGTTGATAATGGTGAACCTCAATTGTCACTGATAAGTGCCAAGCCAAGATGGGTTGGGGCCATGTTGAGAGGTTAACACCGGCTTATTGTGCTATCTGTTCTTGTGCCTGGTAGGTACTACTATAGATGGGCATACATGGCAGTGGACAGGACCATATGGGATAGCCCAGCCTGGCTCTGTACTGAGTTTAAATCACCTGATTTGGACAATCAAAACATCATCCTGCAGCTCTCAAACATCCAAGGCCTCCACTATAGGGAGTAGAGTCTTCCTGTTCTTTCTGCAGTGGTCAGAGTGCAAGAAAATACATGCAGTACCCTCAGGTGGGGGACACTGGCAGACTAGGATGAGCAACTGGCAGTGTTTAACTTTGACAGTATACTAAGCAACGTTCCAGGGACAAGGAAATTTTTGTTGTTGTTGTTGTTGTTTTCATTGAGATTGATAAATACGAATTGAGTTTCACAGCTTGGAAGAGGGTTAAAAAGAATCCTGAAACCTATGAAGAGGAGCTCTGGGGTTTGGGAGCCTGGATGCGTCATGGGGTATACAGCACTGCCATTACAACCTACTGCTTGCGGATCATGCCCTTGATAGCTGACTCCCGGTTTACATAGGTGGCCCAATAGACCAGATTGAATATGGCAAAGAGCACAGGGAAGATGATGCGGGAAATTTTGTCAACCTTGCTGACACTGTTGTAGGTCTTAGTCTCCGTTGGGCTGTCCTGCACATACGTGGCCTTGGGGGAGGCGATGATAGTTGGCGTGGAGGAGGCACTGGGAGTGGCTCCCTTGGAGATGGTAGAGAATTCCGTGTCCTTGGCCAGGTTGATGGGATAGGTGGTCCCCACGATGTTGAAAGCAGTGCTCGTTTTCTTTGTTGGGGCTGCGGGTGTTTTCTTCTAGAGACCAGGAAAAAGAGGGAGAAGGGGAGAACAAAACAAAAGCTAGTTAATCGTTCCACAGTGCCTTCAGTGGCCACAGGGAGAAAGAGCCACCAGACAAAGCTCAGAAGCAAGGCTTAGGAAGCCACTAAGTATCCAAGTTTGTGTCTAGTGATACTAATTTGAAAATGGAAGCCTTGTGTCTATCCTGGCTTTCTAGGTATGTGGCTTTGGCTAAGTCATTTTTTTCTGCAGGTGCATCAATCTGTTTATCTGTAAAATGAAGATCAAACTAATTGGCAGGATGTTGAGAGGATAGGATGACAGAATAGCAATAGGAAGCCCTGAAGAACTATGGGGCATTCATCGTGCACATCACTTGACTTCATCCTCACAGCAACCCGTTGAGGATGCTAGTTGAGACTATTCCCATTTGACAGATGAGAAAACTCAGCCTCAGACTAAATGGCAAAGCCCACACTGGTAATCTGGGCTCTTGGATTTCATCCAGGGTTGTACTCTGCTGTTTCTAGAAGCTTGAGCCATCTTTTGGTTACACAAGTAATAATTTCAAAAGGCTGTAACCACCACCTCCTGTGAGGAAAAGAGCACGGTAAGTCTGAAGAACCATTTTGTGTTATATTCACTGTGTTTACCATGCATCATTATAATGACATTCCATCCTTCATGCACTGTAAATCTGTTTAGCAAGCTTAGGGACACACCAAGTTTCTATTCTTACAAGGCCATATGTAGGAGCCACACTCTCTCCACAGAGCTAAGCAAATGACCCTTTCACACACAACCAAACAGGCCAAGACAACTCTGGGCTTGCTATGATGTTGCGCTTATTTTTCCGACTAAAAATACCACAAACACACAGTAGAAAGGCAGTACACACACATGTCCATCTGTTCTCACATATATGTATTTATTGAACATATGGAGTATCACTGTGGCTCCCATTTTGCAGAAGGGAGAAGAGAAGGGAATTTTTAGCAGGTGGCTACTAGATCATAGTCTACAGACTACTTGCTGTCACTAGTCTTTGGCGGCTCTAAGGAAAAGAGGATATAGGTGAACTCACTAATGCCACAATTTCAGACTCCTTATATCTCCTTTCCTAGTGATGTTTTGCTTCCCAGTATCAAGGGAAGTAAGTCCTATTCCCTTCTTTCTTAGGTTCTTCTGTTCCTCTTCTCCTTTATTGTCTGTTTGAATGCCTTCCTATTGTTTTTCTTCTTTACTTCAGACTTGACATCTTTTGATCTTTCTCCTTTAAACATCACTCCATTTTTCTATTCATGAACCTAATAATAAATTTGGCTCAATATTTTCTAATTATCTACTGGGCCAAGAGCGATTTAGAATTAAACATGTGTCAAGGGATGATGCTGATGAAGAGGCATTGTATTCATAAACTGACACGCTGAATTGAAACCCCTGTGTAAAACCACTTAAAGATAACTTAAAAATAAAAGAAAAAGAAAATATAAAATAAATAAAATATAAATAAATAAATGATGAGGTCAGCTTCAGCCTCTGTTTCCTAGAAGCTCCCAGATTATTGTGGGAAAGAGCCTGTGAATACATCTTGGTCTTATGATGTATTTGTAGAGCTTTAACAGCTCTGAGCAAATATCTATGGGGATTCCGTAGTGGAACAGACAAAGTACTTACAGGTTTTAGGGAAAGTTGCTCAGAGAATGAATGAAGATTCTTGGCTGAGGTCATGCTGAAGAGCAGCAAAGGCCATTCCATAGGCCCAAGTCACAGTTTGTGAAGAAGTTTGCTGTGGTGGGATGATGGAGTACACAGGCACAGGAAAATTCTAGAAAGGCTTTGTATGCCATGCTCCTGCTCTGCCTGCTGTAGCAGGCTTTAGTGTTTTCTGCCAGGCAGAAGTGTGCAAGAGGAGGGAGTGTTGCTTTAAGTAAATAAACAGTGGTGACTAATAAGACATTTAAAAACAACAGTACTAATCTTTGTCTTTGAGGATTGCAGTCACATTACTACAAGTAGGAGGATACAACTGTATGGTTTCTAAGAACCTTGTAAATGCTTTAAATACTACATGAGACTCATTTATAATTACCAATGTCATTGTGTGAATAGAGCCCTGCTGTTAAAATGTTCCTGCTATTAAATAAAATAGTACTTTACTTGTTTGCCTACTTACTTATTAATTTGCTTAGTAATTTCTTTTTTCCCCCATGGGTAAACAAAAAAGAAGAAAAAAAATAAAGTTAAAAAAAAACAAGGAAAGCACTACCCTGGGTTTGTTAGATTTCATGTTATTTCATTTAATCATCTCATAAGCCTTTCATAACCAGGTCTCAAAAAAATCATTTGAAACAATAAATACCTTCTTTAGCTCTGCAGGTATTTTGTGTTCTACAGGTGAGAATAAAAAAAACAATTGATTTCATCACAGGTAGTTTTAGACAGTAAAAGAAAATTCTTTTTTAATTTCTCTCACTATTTCCAACAAAACATGCTTTAATTGGCTTCTATAATTTGTACCTGCATTGCCAAAGAAGCAAGTCAGAGTAAAAACTGTGATAGTGACAAGAGAGGAACAGGAGGTAGAGAATAAGGGTGAACAGCTTCTCATTTCTGCACCTAATATATTAGCCTCTCCTTGCTCAGAAATTTGGTAAATACACATTGACTTTGACCAAGTTGGCATTTTATTATTACATCCTTTGTCAGCAGTCTGGCTCAGAGCTGCAATGGTTATTCACTAAATGAAAAATGACTCTCTCTAGAGATTCTCAAGGTGATTGAGTCTAAACCTGTGCTACACAGGAAACATATCTATGTTGGTCGTAAGGTAATTTCTATGCTAAAAGGCCAAAATGTACTCTTAAAAATTTCTCAAACAGTCTGATTTCAGAACCAGAATACCTTCCTCTTCTAAAAGCCACTTTAAGCTTAGGTGATAACAATTTTTATAGACAAATGTATACACAACTCAAGAGTCCTCTTCAGATGCACATCTGTCATTTTCTTTTCCAAAAGTGCTAATTAGACAGTTATTTTAGACCCTAAATGTATCTGAAACCCAATAAAGACTTACATCATGTGGTGCCTCTTCTGTTAAGTCCCTTTATAGGCACTCACATGTTTTAAACCTCAATTTTCAGAGATGTATAAAGCAAAGGAGTATATGTGGTATGTGAGATTCAAAGATGAACCAAATCAATAACAACAAAAAGCAACCCAATTTTAAAAATAGACAAAGGACTTGAATAGAAATCTTCCAAAGAAAATATTAACACAAATGGTCAACAGGCATATAAAAAGATGCTCAACACCACTAGTCATTAGGAAAATGTAAATCAAAATCAGAATGGCATACAACCTCAAATCTTTTAAGATACCTACTATTAAAAACATTAAGGTGAGGTGTTATGGTGCAAAAATGTAATTATAGCTACTGAAGATGTAGAGGCAAGAGGATAGTGGGTCTGGCAACTACCCAGGTAAAATTAGTGGTGAGACCCTTTCTCAAAGGCAACATGCAAACAAAAGGACTGGATAGATGGCTCCAGTGGTAGACTGCTTGCCCAGCATGTGTGTGGTCTTCAGTTCAACTCTAATTACTACACAAAAATCCATGAATAAAAAGAGTTGGCAAGGATGTGGACAAATTGGAATCTTTGTTCACAGTTAGAAATGCATAATAGCACAACTGGTATAGAAAATGATATGCTGCATTCCCAAAACATTACAAATAAGAGTCAAGTGCTGGTAGCTCACACCAGTAATCTTAGCTACTCAGGAGGCTGAGCTCTGGATAATCACAAGTTGATGCCAACCTGAGGGAGGATGTAAGAAACTCACAATCAAAATAACTAGCAAATTAAGCCACGCCAGAGGCAGGGTTCAACTGGTACAACGCTAGATCATAAATAAGAAAACTAAGCAAGCAAGATGCCCTGATTTCAAACTCCAGTAGATAAAAAAATAATGGAACGAAGGAAGGAAGGAAGGAAGGAAGGAAGGAAGGAAGGAAGGAAGGAAGGAAGGAAGGAAGGAAGGAAGGAAAGGGAGGTAGAGAGGGGGAGAGGGAGGGAGGAAGAGGAAGGAAGGAAGGAAGGAAGGGAGGTAGAGAGGGGGAGAGGGAGGGAGGAAGGGAGAGAGGAAGGAAGGGATGGAGAGAAGGAAGGGAGGGAGAGAAGGAAGGAAGAAGGGAAGGAAAGAAGGAAGGGAGGGAGAGAAGGAAGAAAGAAGGGAGGGGAACTCTTATGCTTTTATACCGCAGAATTTAATGTTATAACTATACTTAAGAATTTCTATTTGACCTACCAAGTATTAATCTTTTAATTTCAGCCTGTCCTTTCCAACTTCAGAAATTCTTTTTGATTCCGAATTCTAAAAATACTCTTCTCCTAACTAGCATTAATTGCTACTAGATTACACATTTGAATCTTCTTTCTCATATGGCTTTAACTGAGTCATTGATGACAACATTTTCAGGGGTTAGGGTGAAATAACATAAATTATTTCCAGAGAACTCCAGTGAAGTTGATGTCAATCTATTAGCAAATTCTATTTGACTTCAATTGGGAAACCAAGCACATTAGATTCAATACATTATTTCATCTGCTTTCTATTCATTCTGGAGGGGGCATGATAAAGATTATATCAAAATGTCTTGAAAAAGCTATGACAATACTTGGGATACTAGTTCATTGAACTTTTATAAAAAGTTTATGCGGTTGGTTTGGCATGGTTTTTTTCCTTAGAAAACTCAGCCTGTGTGTTAGATATTGTTGATCATTGCCTTAAAAAAATTCTCTGTTTAAATGCTCTATTCTAGAAATCTTTCAGTAAAGGGAAACTATTGCACACTTAGGACATCTTTGCTCCCTTCTTTTTGGAAGTAATCAAAAACAATAACAGATGAAGTTTTGGGGTTGGTTTGGTTTGGTTTCATGTTGCTGGGCTTTAAATGCAGGGCTCTGCATATGCTAGGCAAGCATGCTATCACTGAACTACACCCCCAGCCCCAAAACTTTATTTCTGATGAAACTAGAATTCTTTTATATTCTTTTATAATGCCCCAGAGTAAGGGCTTCTGAATAATTGAAAATGAGGTCAAGGTGAAGGAGGCACTGAGAATCCTGCTTTTCTGTCTTTCACAGCAAGAACAGAATTTCAATAAGTAAAGTAGCTGAAGAGAACCAACAAATGATCCTTGTTTAATTCTGGCAGTGAGAGCATCTTTGATTCTGTTTGAACCCAATATAATGGCAGACAAGGTAGAACTGGAGAGTTAAGGGCTCTAACAGCAAACATGCAACAGAGGCACATGCACACACACCTCTACCACACACGGAGTGCTTTCCTATGCATAAGGAAAACTTCTTACTGGTTAGAAGCAGAATAAGTACAGGGAGTTTTCAGAAGAGTTGACAGAGACAGCACATGAGGTTAACTGACGCACTGTGTTCTAGTCACTTTCAAGTACTCACCACTGTCCTGCTCACTCTCTCACTCAGTTCCTAAAATGATGCTTGTGAATAAATGCACACCATAGGGCTAGGAAAGAAATCCTCCGTGCAACTTCGGGTAATAACCAAAGAAAACAGATCATGGGAGGGATGCAAAAGATGTGGCATAGAGGAGGAAAATGGTCACCAAAAGATTATCAGAGAACCCATAAAAGAACATGGAACACATAAAAATGCACTGTGAGAGATAATATAAACATAACACATGATACTAGTACCAGAGACAGCGTTGAACATGATGAGGGACACAAGAGATAAGCTTGAGAAAATTGAGTGAAAAGAAAATGGAAAATAAAGAGTTAAACATTATTAGAGAAGAAAGAGCACATATGGGAGACTAAAAATTAAAAAACACATAATCTGTGCTTCTAGGAAGAGGACAGAACAAACACAAATTTTCAAGAAAACTTTCTTCCAGCATACAAGGCCATGAATGCATATATCCTAGGAACAAAATCTACATAGAGTGATCAGGATAAAAGTAACTGGAATTTAGAAATGAAATGTATATTAGGTAGATTTTCACATCATCAAACAAAATTTCATATGATGTCCAAAGTCCTCAAGTTGGTCTTATATTTCTTGATGACATTCACTGACAGAACCGAATATGCAAATCAATGCTTCAGTCATCAGAAAGAGAATGTGGCCCACAAATTATACAGTAGCTCAACTATAGTTCAAATATCAACACAATGACCAGACATTTTACATGTGCAGAAAAGTAAGAAATATGAGATTCCCATGAGACTTTCTTAAAGAAACTTTTAGAAGATCACCTTAAGGTAGCTAAGCAATGAATGGAAAATTGAATAAAAGGACTATTTTGAGACAAGAACCCATTTAAATTTAAAAGTATGAAAACAGCTATAGGCATTATGGTAGCAAAAAAGAGAACAGGAAACATAAATGTTACACAACTTGGCAAGACAAATAGCAACATAACAAAATATTGCTGGTAAAGAAAGAAGGTGGGACATAGGATAAATATACCAATTTCCCTTTATCTTTTAGTACAAGTAGACGCATCAACTGATTCTGGTCACAGTTGATAACTCAAGATATAGAACAGTAAATACATTTGAAGGCCAAAAAGTAGCAACTAGACTATAATAAAACACTTTTTCCTTAATAACTTATAGCAAAGTTGTGCTCCAATAAGTGGTTACCATATATTTCCAATCTTGCCAACTCACCATTCTGTATGTTTGGAATAGATCTTTCATGTATGCTTGCCAAATATTTATTACCATTTCTCTTCCCTATGATCCTTTGAAGGATCTTAGAATCAGGGATCAGGGCTGCCAGATTTTTTTTGTCTTTATCAATTTGGATAATCTTCATCTAGATCTACTAGATACCTAGACTAATTTTAAGTATCCAAGGGAGACACTATTGATCAAACTTCATTTATCATTAACTCCTACCAATCTCATTTGTTGAATTTTTTGTTTCTCCTTCCTCATTGATCCATAAATTTAAGCAACAAAATACTGTGTAGGGACACAGATGAACCTTTGCCCTCAAAATGGTTAGTCTAGTAATGAGGGAGGCAAATAACCTTAGTACAAATAAGCCCTACTACTAAGAATGCCAGCCCACAGATAGCTAAATGAGCCTAGGGGATTCTAGACACTTTCTATGGAGAAAGTAGCATTCCACTTGCATATTGAAGAATGAATTCTTCAATGGGCAGGGGGAAAATGAACTAGCATTTCATTACCACATAAGCTAAACAGAGAAGGAATGATAGTCACTGGGTTTGCTCCTAAGGTGAATATAATGGAAAGTGAGGGGGGAGCTGGCCCTGGAGCAGTTAGTGTTATCTCCATTTACAAGAGTCCAAGCTTCTATGTTCCTTTGTATCAATGGGTTTCCCTGGAGTCTAGAAGCATCACACATATTTGATCTCAGACCACAAGACGGGAAGCTCTCCATGCCACTTTCCCTCTTTCCTTTGCTCTGTCAAAATTCTAGGTTGCCAAGAAGCACCCCTGTCAAGAGCTGGATTGATGACTCAGTGAATAGCACACAGCCCTGCTGAGTTGCTGCGGGCTGCAGGCTGTTCACTCCTGGTCCCAATACAGTCTGTGAAAAAGGGCTTCTCAGTCCCCCCTTTGCTGCGTCTCACCTTCATCTCCAGGGCCTCTGGCGCCTTCTTGCCTTCCCAAGCCCAGCTCCTCTTAGTGAAGTAGTTCACAGTGGCAAATTCAATCAGCGCAGAAAACACAAAGGCATAACAGACGGCTATGAACCAGTCCATGGCCGTCGCATATGCCACTTTAGGTAAGGAGTTTCTGGCACTGATACTCAGGGTGGTCATGGTAAGAACAGTGGTGACACCTGGGAGAGAAAAGATGACAACCAAATGTGACTAAAAGACATTCAGCATGTATTTAATGAGATCACTGACTTCCTACTCAAGAGGAACAGCTTTATTTTGCCCCACTCAGGATGTCTCCTTTATTTATGTATTTAGTTGTTATTTTTAAGTTGCTTTTATTATTTTTGTAAAGGTCACGACCTAGTAACTACCAGAGCCCAGTTGGCACAGTGATAGACATCTTTAGTGTAGCCTTTGTCATAGTTGTCCTCTGGCCTCTGCCTACACTTTTCTCTTGAAGAATAAGTAGCTTATGTCATTATAAGAGAGCTTGCAGATGAGGAGAGGTCACCGTTGAGCCAAATCTGCATTTTCTAACTATTCGCCCACTCATCGATGTCACTGCTACTTTCCTTACAGCACAGGAAAGAAATATCTGACTCCTGCTCTCTGTTACGGGCTTTTACAGACCTCACAGGTGGGCTGCAATTTGTTGTGACTACCCATTTCCCGCACGACCATAGAAATCTGTGGATTCCTCATGACCTCTGTCTCTTGTTCAACCCTCCTCCCAACCTGGTAGCTCTCATCCAATAACTCAGAACTAAGGCTCAAGTTCGGGGGGAAACTCTAAGTTCAGTAGGGTGATCACATGTTTAATTCTGGGCTCACTTCTCATAATACAACAAATTATTGTGGAAAATGTTTGTAGTGGCATTACACTCTCAGTTCCTAATGAGCTTCATGGCAATCAAAACCGTTCCAGTATATATCTTGTTGGATTTTATAGAACAAGGGCCTGATTTTAACTCAATTGATTCTTTTTAGTTCTTTTAAAATTCACTTCTAACTTGTACTTAAACTTTTAAAATCTTTTCAAAATTTAAATATGCATAGAAATGACATTTTGTTGTGCTTAGCAGCATAAGCTGCATAGACAGACTAAGCTCAACAGAATTCTGGACAATCCCCCTGCTAATAATATGAACTCAAGATGTTTAATTCTACCAATACTCATTTTTATCAATGTGTAAAGTGAGCATAGTAGTACAAGATGATACAAATTTGTTGCAAAATTAAATGAGATATTTATTTATAAAATCTATATCATAATACATGACATAAATAATTACTCTATATGTAGTGCCCTCTACAATTAACATTACTATTATTTTCTGTTTACAGTAATACTATCACAATTTTATAGTTAGAATAATTAACATTAGTAACAATAACATAACCATAATTTGATACTTGTTTGTAGTAATTATATAGTTTCCATGAGCACCACACTAGAATTTAGAAGTCCTAGGTACTTACTTGTTTTGTATCTTGGCAATTATTTTAATCTTTCTATGCCTGTACTCTCTCCATGTATGAGCATTACCTACTATTTCTATATAGCAGCATTTTGATAAGGCACTGCAGGAAGAATGCTTAGAATCTCATGCTGAGTGTTACCAGGCTGAAAAGGATGAGAATGGGAGCTTCATGAAGCCTGGTCAAGTAGAGCAAAGAATGAAATCCTAATGCTAATTAGCATTGATGCTAATGACCCCAAGTTAAGTATGTGTGTGGTAGCCTCTGGGGCTTCCTTTCCTGTCTTATCTTGCTCCTTTAAGTTCTTGTATATTTGTTGTGGATGTGAAAATCTAGACTAGACAAAGCTCAGTGCGATTTAAGTAAACCCTCAAGGAGTACCTTTGTACCAAATAGGCAGGAAATAATCAAACATGAAGAACAAAATGCTGAAATAAGGATACAGGATGACCCATTGTAACAATGAGATGTACAAGACACTACGTCAAAAACTAACTTTACAACTTTGTGGGGCGGGGAGGTAGGGAGGTGGGGAGGGAAGGGATGGTAGGGGAAAAACAAAGGAGGAGGTAACAATGCTCAATAGGAAATGGACTCATTACCTTGCACATGTAACTGTAACTCCTCTGTACAGTATCTTTACAGTTATATATATTATATAATTATAGATATATATATATAAAACAAAAACACACTTTACACTATATCAAGAATGAACCAAAAAGTTAAATCATTGCAAAGGAATGATCTGAATTGGTAATATCATAAATTCTGAGAACAGACACAAGGCTTAGTAATCCTCAGATCATTCCAAGGAAAGGCTGATTTATGAGAAAAACAAGTTATCTCACTCGTGATTATTAAATGCAGTTATGCACCCTATGCATCCTTAGCAGTGTGCTAGTGGTTGGCTGGAAAACTGTACTATGACACTAGTGCTTCGGTGCTCTATTTCAGCAGAGATTTTTAGAGCTCCAGCCTCTTGTGCTTAATTAGAGCTGTCATCTTATGAGAGCTCTTAGCTACTCAGAGCCAGTAGAACACTCAATCAAGCATTTGGTACACCTCATGGACAGACAAAGAGAATCTCAGCACTTAGAAAGATTCAGCCTGTCTTCTACTGCTGTTTCTTCAAGATCCTTCTAGAAAGCCTTTCTTTGAACACTTCTAGTGTTATATCCCACACTGCCCAAAGAAATATAACAGATAACATGTATTTGTCTAACTAAACTACATGTGTGCTGAGTGGAATTAATTTTGATCTGCAGGTCTCACTCTGCAGAAATCATGGTGCATTTGCTTTTTCTACTAATTCTGTTGTTAGTGTTGTCAAATATAGGGACATATTGCCTCTTTTTATTTTGAAACATTACCATTTGCCTAGTATGTGCCTTATGGCACATTTTGTGATACAAAATTTAAAACATTTCAGACCACACTGTTCAAAATGAGCCCCCATCTGCACCCATTAGATGATCCATATTAATTATACTTCACACACCTATTCGTTTCATTCTCATGGGTGGGGTGTTAACAAACTACGTTGTTGAATCTGATCCTGCAGCCCATTCATTCTTTACAAACCCTTTCTGTCCAATTTTGCTGCTCTATTATTTTTTGTTGGTTGTAGAGCTTGAACTCATATCCTGGCTGTTGTCCCTGAGCCTCGTTGGGCTTAAGGATAGCTCTCTACCACTTGAGCCACAGTGCCATTTTTTCTGCTGCTCTATGACTGATGAGTTCGCCTATATTTTTAATCTCCTCACGGCATGTAAATGTTCCTTTTCTTAATAATTTAAAGCCAAGAGAATAAAGGCTGAAGTCCATATTTCTTGATCTCTAGTATCCTTCGATCACTTCGTGACCATAGTTTTGTGCAAATTTAGGCTCCTTTGAGATATCTGCTGTGTCATGACACCACTGCTTTTCTCAGGTCCTATTATTTACAACTTCTTCTCCTTGATCCCAAGTTACCACTGATCTGCTTTCTTTCATTATGGGTTACATTCTTCCCTACAGTTCCATATTTTATGTAAGTATCATATAGTATGCATTAATTTGTGTCTGTCTTCCTACATTCAACTCAATATTACATTGGTCCATGCTTTTCCATGTATCTTTATTGTATTTCTTTTATTTTCAGAGTAGTATTACATTGTATTGATGTAACAAGTTAGTTCATGTATTCACATATTCATGGGCACTAAAGTTATTTCTAAAGTTTAAGTGCTGTAAAACACAAAAGGGGGGGTACTTGAATTATTTCATTTATGTATTTGTGTGAGCATCTGTTTTCATGTGTCTGGTAAATATCTAGCAATAGAAATCCCAGACTGTATGGTAAAGCATATGAATAGATTTGTATAACACTTTAAAACTCAATTTTAAAGTACTTATATCATTTTGCATTCCTAGAAGAGATGAAAACATTCAGTTAGTGTGTACCTTAATTTGTCATTTTAGTTGATCTCTTATGCTTCCCCCCTCAAACTGAAAATCTACAGAACATTTGATCTCTGCGTATCTCCATTTCAACATAGATTATGTTATACTCTAATTTTTATTCTACGTGTATTTTTGCCCTATGAGCCACTGTTATTATTTCATACATTTGGTGTCTGTTTACCATTCCTATATATATTATATATTATAGTCATTCTTTATAAAATACGTTTTCAGTCTTCCTTCCAAGATATATTTCCTTTCATTTGAAGAATAAAATTAAGCATTTCCTTTAGTGAAAGTCTAATGATAATCATAACTTTTAGCATTATGCTATTATTAGTGTTCAAAAATATCTTCTTTGTTTCTATGAAAGTCAGTTTCCAGTATATTGGATAGAATTGGAAAAGCAACATAATTTTTCCAAGAAGCTCTTTAAGGTCTTCTCTTTGTCTTTTGTTTTCAGATGTTTCACCATAATGGATCCTTATTGACATATATTTTGATTTATTCTAATGAAAGTTATATTTTCTTTAGGTTTCCAATTACATTTTTATTACTGTTTTTCAGTAAATTGCATGCCTGTTTCTCTCATGCATTTTTGTTTACATCTTAACTTGCTTTTTAGGTAATCTGACCTATTGTCCAGTTCATAGATTTTCTTTTATTTATATAGAAATCACTGAATTTTTATCTGTACTTTCCAGTTCTACAATTTCCAATGTCATTTCTCTTCTCTCTCTCTCCCTCTCCCTATTTTATGAAATATATTTCTATTTACCATCCAAAATTTTCACATTACTTAAGCTCACTTAAATATATTCACTATGGATGTTTGAAAGTCTATCCAATAATTCAAACATCTGGAGTCTCAGTAGATTTGTATTTTAAATTGGGGTAGAATTTATATACACTAGAAAAATAGTTTGTACATTTTTAAGTCTTTGGACAAGTGTATGGAGTTGTACAACTACTACCCAAATCAGGATATAAAACATGGAGGGCTAAGTTATGATGTTATAGAGAAAGCTTTGGCTTCTTTAGGGCGATGGATTGACTGAGAGTGGGCAAAAGGGAACTTGCTATTATAATGGAATTGTTTTATATAAATAACGTTATACAGACTATAATATTTTATGCCTAGATATTTCAGATTAATATGCCTTTGAGACTCATCTAAAACATTGTATTAGTCAATAATCAATATATGTTATCTATACACTACACATACACACGTACCATATATGGGTGTGTGTGT